CAATGCATGGCCGATGGCGGGGCGCAGGCCTGGGGAGCGGATCGCCGAGCCTGCGAACCGCACTCCGGTAAGAACGCATGAACTAAGACCTATTTATTTTAAACACCTTGCCCTCTGTAGATTTAACATTTCCTTTAACAACAAATGGTGAAAAACAGTTGTGACCTTTCTTTAGAAAGGGGAACCAGAGGGGCACCAGCTGGAACGTTCTTGTTTTGTTGTTCAGGCAGGAAAAGAGCAAATACTGAAATATTTCCACCTTGAGAAATATCCTTTAAGTTAAAAGATAGAATTTGCTTACTCTGAGTTACTGCAGGCTTAAAAAGCTTCTGTGTCCTCCCTCTTTGATAATTTCCAATTTATACTGCCAGGTTGCATCCTAAGTTCTTCAACAAATGCAGTTATTCCTGCAATACCTACAGAGCTACTACAACAGCAGGTACAAAAGCTATGGCCTATGGCTTAAAAAGACTGTAGAGTCAAAGCACAAATATCAAATATTCTACATGGTTAGGTATCCACCCCTGGCAAGCAGCTTTCTTTTTAGAATAAAAGACAAAATCAGAGTTCTATGGTAGAACATAAAAGCAAAACCTGAAGGAAAGCCTCTTTACATCACCTTAGAAGTTCACAGAACATTTTAAAGATCGACAGAATAAAACCTACTCAAATTCAGCATTCACGTAGAAATATTTTAATATATACAAGATGCAACATAAAAAGGTGAATTACAATTTCAGTTTATGAACAGAGAGTGCTTTCTGCTTTTTCTCTTTCTTCTCTGATTTGTTTGCATCTTTGATTTGCATTTTCACTTGATCTTGTAGTTGAGAAAAGAAGGCCTGGGATGATTTCAAGACCTTGTCTTTACCTTCATCCTGTCAATGGACAAAATATTTGTTATAACCAAGAAATGTACAAACAGTGCCATTATACTACTTACTAGCTACTCACATATAATGGTATTTGACTTAACAAAAAAATATCTGATAATTGATTTTCAAAGGGTATTTTTCACCACATTCTTATACCACTCCTGCTATTGAAAGAAATAGAGTACGTTCCCTTTCAATTAGCAGTTAGCATGGTAGGTAAGAACAGGCATCAAGAACAGATCCTTGCACATGACGAGCTGCAACTACATACCTATATTTTGTGTTCGGCTCTCCTTTTGAAAAGGTAAGCACAAATGTTTTAGAAGTAATCAAGTTACTTTTCCTATTAGTGTCTAATACCTCACAATTTCAGAGATTTTTAAAATGTAATTTATAAGGCATCATAGGTGGTACACAGGTTTACTGCTTTATAGCATGCAAAACAAAATCAATCTGATGAGAGAAGGCTCCACAGTAAGTAGTAGAAAATAAAATAGGAATATTCTATTTCAAAATAGCTTAAGTTACTCAAAGCTTAGAAAGAACTAAACAGAAACCCCATCCTCAATTATGCACGCAAGTAGTCCCATTTAATCAAGGGAACGATTCAAATGCAGGAAAGAGCGTAAGTCATAGCATTTGCAGGGACACTGCCTTGTGAACTTTGAAATAAATAAAAAGTAGTACCTAATGCAAACAATCATTTCTGCTTTGTGTATATACTTCGATATGAAGTAATTGTATCATACAATTTTTTCATATTTTTCCACATCTAAAGATTAAGTTGCTTACAAATTCAAATATATTTCATACTCTGAGTAAGCTTCTAAAGGTTCCAACAACAATTTAGGTATGATTTATTCATACTTAAAGCAATAACATCTACATATATATGCATTATAAACAAGGGGGTCACTGCAAAGTGCAACCAGAGCTGTATTTTTTCAAATCTCTATACTGACATCATGCTGTCAGAATTATTGGCCAAATCAGGACTAAAAAGGCATTCAACGCTACTTTGCATAAGGCAGCTACGAGCATGGATTAGAACAGCACTTCCAAAACTCTGGTTCAAAAGAATGCAGGGGAAAGCAAGGGGGGGGGGGGGGGGTGAAACGCGGGGGGGGGGGGGGGGGCAGTGAGAGGAAAGAAAGAAAAAGAAAGAAAAAAGGAGTATGCATCTACCCTTTCCATGTTTTCTTCCTACCTTTTTTCCAGAAGCTACATTTACCTTTTATATTTGCTCAGACATAAATAAGGTAACAAGGTTTGGGTGGTAAGCGGATACACTACTTGTGTACAAGAATTTTTGAGGGGATGGAGAACGATTAGGAGATGTAGCTGTGCCAAGAGGGATGGGAGGGAAACCAAACCCTATACTTCCTAATTCTTTGGGATAAAGTTCCTTTTCCTCTCTCTAGCTACATATTATCTACCCTTGGGATTTTAATATTCTTTGGCTGGGAAGCTCTAAGTTATACAGGACTACTTAAGAGAGCCTTACCTTGAGCAGAGATGCTTTGCCTTCTTTTGTAAGCTTTTTCAGTTTTGCTGCAGCAGCTTTTTTGCTAAGTTTTGTGCCTTGTTCTGGTTTCATCTTTTCAAGAAGCTTCTGACGCTTCTCCTTTTCTCTTAGCTTCATACGTTTACGAAGCTTTTTCTTTCTTCGTTCTCGTTTTTTGTCTGTGGCAGTCTTTTCTGCATCTGTTTTTACATCACCAGCTTTGTTCTTTTCCTAAAAAGAACAAGATCTCTAGATCCATAAGCGTGCAAAAGACTCACTTCACAATACTCAAATCTGTCTTCAGGTTTCCATTATTTCAAGTGTTTAGCCAGCTCAGGGCGATGCCACATTAAGGCAAAGGCCAAAAACTGGCAAGAGTTGGGAAGTGAGATTTGTACAATTGATCAAAGACATGCCAGTAGCTCTTCCCTATTGTCATTTAGCTTTCCCTTTCCAAATACCCATATAGATGGTGGCAAAAGTAATGACCATCACATAATAGCCAAGAATAAACCAAAGCATAATATTATGGCCTAGTGTAGCTAAATAAAATTAACTCTTTCCCCTCCTTCCAGTTATCAAAAAAAAAAAAAAAAGCACCCCCCACCCCCCAAAAACACCCCCAAGCACCACCACCACAAAAATGCTAGGCAAGAAGGTCCACAAGGTGAGGAACCCAGGGTGGGAGGGGGCAGAATTCTTCCATTGATCTGGCAGCCAGTACACCCTTCTATCAACAATACAGATCCTCTCCAGATCCTTACATGATTTTTGTTTATATTTACCTTGATCTCCTCTGGTGCTAAGAGAGCAGCATCACTAACAGCAACAGGTGCTACTTCTTCCATACTTATAGCTGGAAGGTTTGAAACTATTTTAACTTCTGGCACAGGCTAGAAATAAGGAAAGATATTCAGGACTGAGCACACCATCTCACAGCAGCTTACAGCTAACTGAAGATACCAAATATTTGTTTAGAGGCAATTATAGTGCATTTAATATGAAGGAAGAAGCAGCTCAATAACACTCCATGTTTACTTTACTTTCCATTTCCCAAATATATTTTAAAAGTATCCAGTTTCAAAGGCGAGCGGGGGGGGGGAGGGAAACTCCAGCTTTATGAAACTTATGTACTTACTGGTTTGGGTGTGAAGTGGAAGTTAGAAAGCGCATCCAGCTTCAGGAAGAGTGAATCCATCATTTCCTGAATTTCTTTGTGTTCAGGATTTTCTTCCTCTTCAGTCTTCTGCTGCATTAATAACGCAATGTTACTGCAACACCATTCATAAAGCTATTTTACTTTAGCAAGACTGATAACAGCACAATATAGAATTCAGAGCCATTTCACTGGTGAACACTCAGACAAAGATTGAAGTACTTCCATAAAGCTGAAAGGAGAGTTAGCAGTGCACTAATGAAGATATAAAATTATGTGATGTGAACTTCAAACAAAAGAAAAGGCACTGCTTACGTTACCTGGTGAAGTTTCATGTATTCCTGCTCATAGATCTCAGCGAGACTCAGTTTACTCTTCTCATGATCCAAAGCGATACGTTTCTTGTATTCAAAAGCCTCCTCTTTTGGTTTTTCTTTTGGTACTACATCATCCCATGCCTGAGAAAGTCATAAATTAATGACCAAACACAACTACAGTCGATTATCAGGTGCTACAGCTTATTTAGAACATTTTCCATATTACTTATCTGACACATTAACTAGTTTATGCATGTGGCTTCCCAGGAACTCATGAAGTCTCATACTTTTGTTTGGAAAAAAGTAATAAGAGACTTATAACTCTAGCTTGTCTGCTTATTTTTAGTGAATCAGGGTAAAAATTGTATAACAAATAACAAATGTGTAATCTTCCTAAGTTCTTAAACACTCTCTCCCGTATGTACCTTTTTTTTTATTCAACTAACAATAAGACAACAAGGTGTGGGATACAAATCTTCTATCAGTGGCCTTTAAGAAAAATAAAGTAAACAATTGAGTTTTGGTTAGTATTCAGAACACTCACAACACTACAGTTACAGTCATATACAAAATTTACAGACTGGCATTATATTCCAAATAAACTCCTTATAGTTTTATCTGCAAACACTCATTTTTTTGAAGCACACCAAAACCTCACATATAACAGGCACGTAAAAACAGAGCTCCTTAGAAATCTAAAGACACATTCATCAAGGCAAAAGACTAGAACAACCAGTTGCAGAAATTAATTACGATAACTCTACATCTAATATTTTAAGAGCTTCAAACTCATCCTTGGAATGTGCCCTATGAATCAAGTCTATGAACAAAATAGGAGGAACAAGTAAGATAATATTAACCTCATCCAATATTCTCTGTTTAATGATATCTTCAAGCTGAAAAGTAGTTTCTTCTGTGATCACAGGTGCTGAGAGGAGAAAGAGAAGAATTTTAAGATTAATGTTTCTCCAGCAAGAAATACTTTTTGTTCTATGAAAAACAAACAACAGAAAAAGAAAGTAAAGCCTTAACAAAAATGTAGTAATTGAAGGTCAGGTAAGTAAATAATGTTTTCCTCTATCTTGAAAAGAGTAATCATAGTATGTAAGGCTTGTAAATGACTAAATCTGCCACTGAATTAATGAACTTTCAGTTAAGCTAAAAATGAACAAAAAAGATTGTAGTTTCCACCATGAAAACGCACCACCTCAAAAATGCACTGAGAAGTGTAACTTAGCGTTTTGTTATCCTGCTCGAGTCACAAATGTTTTCAGCAAGGTCAAAGGAAAGAAAATCCACCATGGTACGCAACATGCTTCAGGAAAGCCATCTCTCACTACTTACCCATTCGGACTGCATGGTCAAAAAGCACGGTTTCCTCCAAAAGGCTATTTTCAGGTCGTTTTTGTCCAGTTACTTCTCCTTTAAGCTGCCAAGGTTTCTCCTCTAACAACTCTTCTTCTAAACTTTCTATTTTTTTTCTCATCTGAAAAACACAATTTCCTAAGAAGTTTAAAACATAGAGCTCACAAATAAACTCAAGGCAAGAAATTAATAGTTATTTCAGGTACTTCTAACTCCTCTTCACATAAAGATATATGCAATCATATATTCCCTCATATGTGATGTAGATAAGCCACTTTTTTTTTTCCTTAATTTGTAAATAGCCTTTTCATATTTGCCAGACTGTGAACAAATTACACAATCATTTAAAAAAATATATAGATATATTGGCCACTGTTTCGAAGTATTAGCAAAATAAAGAAACAATTACCTTTTCCTGTCTCTTCTCAAAAGAAGACTTTATTTCACTGGGATCGATGCCTTTCTCTAATTGCATATCAGTATCATCTTCTGTCTCACTGTCATCTGGCAAACTAAAAGTAACTTTTTTAGAGGCTTCTGTACTTCTTATATTCTCCATCATCATTTCATTCATATCCTCGACCCTGTAACATTAAAATTTAATATAAAATAAAGGTTGAAAAGCCTCTATAATTTTTTCAGCCATTAGATGTTTACCTGTTACAACTAACCCACAGTTAAGAAATACAGTAGGCTTTCACTGAAACCTAAAGGCAGGGGACACTAGAGAAACTTCTATATATTAAAAAAAATAACTTTGAAAAACTGAAGTTAGAGCTATTAAATGATTTATTCAAATAAATATCAAGAAACAATATTCAAAGTTTAAGTAAATAAACTACTTTTTAAATAAGGTGACAATGCAAACCATGAACATACAACAGATAACAGAGAATGGCAAACCATGACCAAAGCGAGCCTGGAATTCACACTTTATTTTCTACTTCACTTCAGTGTAAAATTACAAGGTCATTTCAACTGCAAATAATGCATATACTTACTCAGACAAGCTTTCTTCATTCTCTTCTTCGATAGCACTGTCTGCTTCCTCTTCCTGATCATCTTCAACATCATTAGCTACTAAATCATCATTGTCATCAACTGGATCAAAGAAATCTTTGTATGTCAAGTCTCTAGAACTTTTAATTGGCTAAGAAGGGAGAAGAGGGGAAAAAAAAACCAAACAAAACAAACCAAAACAGTTAGACTGACAGAAGTCTAAGGGTATCCTGTCTTTTAAAGTCTTTAGCACCTGGGGAATAGCACTACTTGTGTATCAGTAATTCAGTTTACTGAAGCATTAACCTGTGGTGGGGCATCTTATTAAAACTAATCTCTTTTACAAGTATTTAAAATATTCTACCACTTAAATTAATTTCCAATTTCAACATATACAGACTCAAAGAGGAGTAGATTCTGCCAATTGCTCATTGGAATACGTACATGTTCCCTTACACCCTGGGCATAGTTCTTACTTGCTAGTGAGGATCTCTGATAATATTAAAAGATTTATTTTTGAAACAAGTACTCAGCCACTTAAGTTAAATCAGAGAGTTATAAAGCCATGTCCCTGAGAAAATAAGTTGCCAAAAGCCCTTTGCTCTGCATCAGTCACCTTAGTGATCTTTAACTGCCAGATGTCAATGCTGAGTGGCACATCTTTTTCATCTGCTGGGTCACCAATTCTGCAAAGTCACTTATTTCTTATGACATACTTTCTCTTCCTTTATTCATGCAAAAACCCAAGACCCATCTAAAGAGAGACTGTACTAGCAGGACAGTATGTTCTTCTACACTAGGATGTTTTGTTACCAAATATTCATGTCAAATATATTATTAAAGTAAAGCTTCAGAAATAATCATCAGTCATCTAATCAAATTTAACTTGGTAGCTTCTACTCAGAGTTCAACAACTTATAGTCACCCTAACGGATATCAGATCTTGATTTAAAGGAAGAGAGAGATCAGAAAATTAATTTACTGATATTCTTACTTTGACTTCAGCTTCTTCAGACTCTTCTTCCTCATCATCAGAGATGATGTCTTCAAAATAATTAATATCTTCTTCTTCCTCCCTGTTTTCCTTCTCTGCATGTTCTAAAAAAGCTTCCATCTCAGCCAATTTGAAAAACTTGTCATCCACTATAGATTTTCTTCCCATTTTTTTCAATGTGGTTTCCTTGGCTGTTTTAGTTTGTTGCTCCAGTGCTTCAATATCAAAGTCAACATCAGAATCCTCATCACTGTATTTCTGCATTACGCTTTCTCTGAGTTTACTTTGCTTTTCTTTAGCTTTATCTTTTGTATAAACATTCTTCTGTTCAGTTTCTGCTTCCATTATGTTGTCTTCCAATTCCTTGCTGCTGCTGGTCTCTGCATCAGAGCCATCCTCTTCCTGGTCTGAGAGAAGGCAAAGATCTTCATCCTTGGCATCCCTTGCAATGGATTTCTTGAAGAAATCGAGAACTGCATTGTTCTGGAGCTCTAGCTGTTGCCAAATCTGTTCTTCATCAAAATTTTCTATCACCAGTTCTTTTAGAGGACCCCCACGAACTATATTACTTCCCAGAGCTTTATTCAAATCATAGAGAGTCTTTGTTAATGCTCTGAAGTCAGCAGCCAGTCCATCTTGCACACTAAGAGTAGAAAAAAAGTTAAGAGCTTTAAAAAGCGCAACAGTTAATATTACTGCAGAATTTACCAGCTTTCATTCATTTTACACCTTCTATTAAGTTAATCACATGGCCACACTGCAGCTCTTTTTATATCTGCTTAGGTATTTCAGTGCTACAGAATAGCACCTGTCAACAACTACTGCTGTTGCTTAACTTCCTATACACCTCTTGGAGTACTGCTACTAAACATTCCTAGAAATAAAGGCAGTATAATTATCAAGCCTTTCAGCTTCGTTACACTTTGTGTATGAAGTAGCAGCTGGACAGAATATTCTACCCTTCTACAGCCGCATCTTATTGTACCTTGATCGATTTAAGCACTCAAGACGTTTTGGGGAAGTGAATAGTATAGCACTAAACACCTCAAACATCCAAGATACAGACCCTTGGTTTTGGAAAGGTAATTGTCTTCCTCCACTGCCTTACTCCTCAGCTTTTATGTTTGGGTAGCTTCTTCCAGTTTTTTCTCTAGACCTACCAACGCTTCAACACAGCTGGCTAGCACAGAAACCTCCGTTTCCTAGTTCCCGAACGCTGACGAAAGGAATAGGATACTGCGGCAGCCGCGGCCAGGTCTCGGCGCCGCTAACAGCGCGTTTCAGGAGAGCCCGGCGGCACCGGGGGGAGCTGAGGGGCGCCGGCCGGCACGAGGCCTCCCTCCCCGAGCACCGAGGCCTGCACAAGTCGCAGAGCGCTACGTGCACGTACACGCACACACACGGCCCGGCATCGGGGGGCTCCCCAGCCCCTGGGGAGCCCGCAGCCCGGCGGTACCTGAGGAAGCGCTCCGGTCGCGCCGCGGCGGCGCCCGCCACCCTGAGGCACGTCTCCAGCGTCTTGGCAACCGCCATCTTCCCGCCGGCCGCGGCGCGTGGAGCAACCTGGCACCGCCTCCTCGAGGCCGCCGGCTGAGCGGTCCGGACGACTCCCGCGGCCGGCGCCGAGGTTCCGCACACAGGAGTTCCGGCCCGCCGCCCCGCCCGGAGCATTTCTGCCTCCCGGCCCGCGCTCGTGCCGCAGAAGCGGCCGGCCTGCCCGCGTCGCACCCGCTTCCCCGCTGCACCGCACGCAGGGTATCGCAGAGCCACCTGCTGACGGCTGCTGCTTCCTCCCCTTGGAAAAGCGTGGTATTGCTTTAGATTGGATGTTCATCAGCCCTGAAAAACCTGCTCTAAATATAGTAAAGCTACAGTCATCTTACTTCGCAGTTTTGTCTCTCTGACCTAGATACAAGGGCTATTTTGGAACGCAATTAGCGAGCACTGCCTAGTGTTCAAGTGGTTTGTTACTGTACACCACATAGCTTCCTTAAGGTTTATTTTATAAAGTCAAATTAAGCAGTACACCCACAGACCGTGGTGAAGAAGCTGCTGCTGCCGTTGGGGGAGACGATCCCTTCCTCCTCCATGCTGCGAAGCGCGTTAGCAGGGGCTGCCCCCCGGGCTGCGCGCGCCCGGCCTGCTGCTGTTCCCAGCCTGCGGCCGTTCGGCACCCGGTCACAAAACCGTGACCACCTTTAACTTTCTTCTTGCTGTTGCCTCTGCTGTTCCTCTGCTGCTTTCGTGTTTCCTTCCTACCAAAAAAAGAAGTCTTTTCAGTGCACAGAAAACAAAGCCCTGCTATGCAACTTCTGTGCCTCCTCTCACGGGCACTTTGCACCCTCAAAACCATTGTGTGGAGCGGGGCCCCGCCGCAGAGGCATGAGTGTGACCTGTACCCGCGCTTCTCCGAACATCGTAAACATATCTGACACGTGACAACCCGGGTTGGAAGCAGAGAGTGTCATATATGGGGACTTTTAAATACCCATCTGGACCACTGATTTTGATCTGCACTTTTAGTTATTCGGATATTACCGGATTTGAAATGGCACAAGCTGTTCATCCATTTAGGATGTATCCCAGCGGCTTGCCCCTATGCCCCTGACACCACAGGGACGGAGCACCAGAAGACAGCCTGCTCGTTGTCCCGAGCCTTTTGCACAATGCCTCAGTCAGAAAACTCCCTCTCGCTACAGATGTCCCTTGCTATAGCCGGCCTCTTCTGCACTTTCTGTTTGAAATAACGGCAGCGCCCGGAGCCGCCCCTGCAGC